AAGAAAGGATCCAAACCATTTTTAATTAGGGAAATTAAGTCTTTCTAGGGGAAAATGAAGAAAGCCAAGATTCTGTGTTTCATGATATGAACATGATCCATGAGCCTTAGGCCAGGTCTTTGACACCAGCAATATAACACAATATCTCTAAAGCCATCCCTGCCCTATTTCCATCCAGAGCACCATACAAAAAACTTAATGCAAAATGGGTGTCCTTGGCACTTCAGCAAATGAGAGGCTGAAATGCTGGAGGGTTGCCTTAAGGTTATGCATATTTGTCTGTGCTATTAAATACACACTTTGCTTTAGCATGTTGAGAAATGCATTAATGAAGGCACTTACATTAATGAAGACATAAAAGAACTTTCAGCAGTACTGGAAATAATGTAATCAATAATATCATAACCCATCCCACTGCTTACATAACTTATTGGTGAAGCAAGGATATTTTACTGATCTCCTAGCAATAATGACTTACACAGACAATGCAGACATGCAGGCAACATAGATAATTTGTGACCTTTAACAGTCAGGAAAAGGAGCTAATTAAAAAGTTGTTAAATGACCTAATATATATTAATATAGTTGCTGGCCTACTTAAGTTGCTTGAAAGCAAGGAAACTCAGAAATAATCTGAGTGCCATTTTTGTTAAATAAGTGCATTTTCTTACAGTGGAATCATGAGCTTATCCAGTCTATGATCCTAAACAGACATAAACTGGGGGAGAGAGAAAACAAAAGTTTGTGTGCATTTCTCTTGTTAGTTAACTTCACAGAGGTGAGGCGTAAAAGATCTCACACCAAAGAATTTGGGTCTACCCCACTGAGTTTCTATTTGTAAGTGATCAACTTTGACAACTGGCCCCAGAGAGTGTCATATGCTGAATGGCTGCAAACAGATCTGTACATTTGCACTGGCCAATGGTGGGGTGCGTGTGGACATGTGCTAGAGACCACTCACCATCATGGCAGCTGCCTCCTTCTCTGCAGAGACCAGCATTCTTGTGATGCTGAAAGATAGACCTACGGAGAGAGTGTTGTGTGGGAGGGACCTGTTTGGCTACAATCCAAAGAGAAAGCAGGCAGGCTGACAGCTCAGAAACCTATCCTTTCTTGCCCACCCCATTCCACTGTACACAGCTGGTGGAATGACTGGGCAACTGCCAAGGGCCCATGACCCAGTAGGGCCCACCCACAAGGGCCCTCTGGAGTAGTTCTTTGCCATTGCAACCTGCCCTTCACACACTGAACTGCTTGTTCAGTGGTTCTTTCCTGTCATTCGAGTAAGTGGTAGCAAAGATAAGAAAGAGCACGAGGCTGCAGCTGGTGACAGTGGTGGTGTGGACGTGGGAGGCTGCCCCTGATGGCAGCTTGCCCAAAAGCTCTTTGAAACCTGGAGATGGTGCTGCCCCTGGTCTTTACCTGGGTAGGGATATCAGCTTTCACATAGTTTCTTTTTGTGTGAGGAGAAAAAGAAGGACATAGTCACTTAAGGTTATGGAAATGGTATGATACTTTTGAATGTGACGTATTGACAAGACGATATGTGAGGGGGGCTGAACAGTTTTCAAGCAAAACAAAACAAAACAAACAAACAACACAAAAACCTAAAACAACAAAAAGAGCAAAGGATACAAAACAAAGGAAAAGTGGGTCAGGCTGAGAACTCCCCCCCCCCCCATTGTCAAGTCCACTGCAAACCACAAAAAGCCTGATAGCACTTTCTTTGTGGTGACTGTCAAGGCTTTGCCGTCTGCTTGGCTTGGCTTCTTTCTTGTGTTGGTTGCACCAGTAAGCTTATGAGTGTTGGCCTCAAGCCTGTCAGGTTGCAGTACTGCCTGCCGTTCTACTCTTCTCTCCCTCTAAGGAAACAGAGGGAGGAAAACACTCCCAGTCTAAGTCCTCCATAATGCCACACTTATGAGGACCAACTGCGATCTACTCAGTGACAAGAGATATTCATAACATGAGCAGATTTTATTGCTTCACATTTTCAAGACTAGGCTGTGACAGTAAAATTGCATCTTCATGCTAAGTGCTGGTGTGTCTGGGCAGATGATAGCCCTCCAGATGCATTGGACTTCAGAAGCCCTGCCTGCATGGCCAATGGTTAAGAGGTGACATTCAAAGCATATTGGAAGTCAACTTTCTGCCTATTCATGGCCTAAATAATTAGGATCAAGAATTTCAGGATCAAGACTGAAAAAAGACTTTGTTTTCTGGCGGTGCAGAGGAAACGAAATGTAGACCTTGTATCTTTCCCCATCCCAATAGCAAAAAAGTGGTCGAAGGACGGGAGCAAGGGAAAGAAATTAAGCATATCCTGTGAATACAGTTCTGTTTTCATGAACTAGATGAAAAAGAGAAACACTGTTTTTTTAAAAAAAAACTTTCTCCCAGCAATATGTCTAGTATGACCTTTTTCTAGACAGTTCTAGACATAAAAACTGAAAGGTTTTAGGTAAAGACATTGTTTGGGTTTTGAGAGGTTGAATGGGGATTTGCATGCCATCAAAAGTATGTATTCTATAGCATTTTAAAAGCTCTGATTATTTTTTCTTACACTTGAGGCAATGAATGTCTGTGAGCTCCTTGAGCAGGAAAAATGTCCAAAAGACAAGAACATAGCCTATTTGATATGGATTAATTTCTGAATAAGTGTATGAGAGTCAATTTTGTGTGAAATCATGCTTAGTCACTCATATGGAAGTATTCCTCTGTCCATGGAGCAGGTATAGGTGTTTTTTTGCTGGAAAGCTGTGGCCTTTTCCACATGTTCTCTTCTATATAAGTATTAAACAAGTCCTGGTGTGGGGAAAGGAGGGGAGGATGTTAAGAAATGCAGTTCTGACAATTTAAAAAGATACTGGCAAACATGGAATCCAAGTATCACTCTAGTTGGGGTCAGACAAGACAAATGCCACACCTGCTTCATGACCCACCATGGTTTATCATGTGTGAAACTAGTCACTAACAAAAGTGACTGGATGCAGGCAACACTCAAGGTTTGAATATGGATATGGGTTGAATGTGGGTGGTCATTGAACTGTGGTATATTGTGCTGTCTGAACTGAGTCGAGAGTCAAGATCATGCTATGGTGAGCAACCCACAAACAACCCAATTCAACTGAAAACTACGGGTTCTCTTCGTGGGTTGCTTGTGGCTAACCAGCCATGACAAAATAAGACATTATCTTATTTTAATTGTGCTTGTTGTTAACCATCCTGAAACGTCAGTAATGGGATGGTATATAAATGCTTTAAATAAATATAAATAAATAAATTGTTAGACCCTGTTTTAGACCCAAGAAACAACTTGCTGCTCTTCCCAAATGGGTCCTGGGTGACCAGCAGTGACAGCCGCCCAAAAGGTTTCCAGGTGACTCTTGTGGGCAACTGGCACTGGACTTCCCCATCCCCACTGTGATCACAAGCAAGTTCAGACTTGCCCTGGCATTTTCACATGTAAACATTTCCCCCTTCCAATTCTGAAATCTGGCTGTCAAACTGGCTTTTGCAATCCCCCTTTTGACAGCCCCTTCAAAGTGCCCCAGAGGCACTTGGGCAGGGGCTGCCCATGGTTATCAAGCTATTTTTTTTAATAGCCGTTTTCCCCAAACATTTACAGAGAAACATATCCTGGCTCTTGTCAGCATCAGACACTCAGAGATGCATGAATGGGAAGCCTTTGGTGGGCAATGTGTACAAGGGTGCCTGCTCGCTAGTCCAGAAGGTGCTGATCCGGGGCATTGCCCCACAGCGGGCAAGCTTATTTTCCCTTTGGTTATGTTAGGCTATTTTTTCCTTTGCTGACCTCAGGCAGATGCAAAAGTATGACACATTTCATTTTACGAGAGTAATTACCTTTGTCAACTGTCAAAGGTAAAGTTCCACTTTCAAGTAGGATTTAGAAAAGTTTTTTAATTCAGGAAAATATTCAGGAATATATGTACACACACACACACACACACACACACACCTGTATCCTTCCCTCCCTTCCCCCATTAAATCCTTTCTAAATGATTGCTTCGCGTGATGCACAAGTGTGCTATGTGTGGGTCCAGGCTCTAGACCTGCTCTCTCCTAGTGCAGAATCCGGGGTCTTGCATTAAATAACGCTGCTTTGAAGACATATAACTAGAACTTCCATAGTGTGATTTGCCAGATAAAATACTGTTTGCCTCTAGTTTATGTCTAGTTTGAGGGCACAGTAAGCTAGAATATATATTTTTATTCTTTCATTTGAATTGCAATCATTTTCCCATTAAGTTACTCTAAATCCTTGTACAAAACTATTTTGTTTCTGTTTGTTTTATTTTGTTTTTTGTTTTATTGGGGTTTGCTGCACTGTCCATTACTCAGCTATCTAGGAAGTTCTCTTCTAGCCTAGCTGTAGGAACAAATTATAACATTATCAGTAGTTTCTGGAAGGAATTGGAATACTTAGAATGGATCCTAGATGGCTGACCAAGATCTTAATGACTACTTGTTGACTGATGATGCTGTGCCGCATTCTCCAGATGAGCAGTGCTAACTGAGGTTGACGAAGACTAAAACAGAGATTGTTTCCTTCTCAGATTTACTAGTCCTGATGTCGGCATGCTATCTGGTATCAGAGGTATTTTGCTTATGTCCACCAGTTGCTGGGAGACATGGAGAGCAGGATGCTGCTGTCCTCATGTCCTGCTGGTGTGTTTGCCATGGGCATCCCATTATCCCCTCTGCGAACAGAATGATGGACTTTGGTCAGATCCAGCAGGGCTATTCTTACATTCTTATGTAGCTGGGCCATTGTTTTTGACATGAGCCAGGGCAGTAATATATGTGAAACTGCTTTCATGTATACAGTATGAATTTACCTTAACTGTATTGAATAGGTCCAGATTGAATGCATTTCTGTGACAAAACATCTCTGTATATGTACATGGGAAACTGGTTGTAGACAGGTAAACGGATGACTGAATGTCATTTAGTGACTGTAGTTTGTTTTTCTGTTATAGGAAAAAATCTTTCCTGTTTTCTGCTCTATATGCTGCCTTTATATTTGGTGGTCGACATCTAATGAATAAAAGAGCAAAATTTGAACTGAGGAAGCCACTAGTACTGTGGTCCCTGAGCCTTGCACTCTTCAGGTAAGCAATCATTTAAAAGGAATTTTCCTAATTTGTTTTATTTATTCATATGTTAAGATAAACATGAGAAATTTCATTCTGTCATGGACATCCTTTCTGGTTTCTGGTTCTTTATGTCATTCTTGCAGTTTTTTCCTAATGTTTTACAAGGATCATGGCAGGAGGGAAGACATTAATCCCCAAGTATTTCTTAAATTTTGTATGTATCAGCCATTCCCATACACTCTGGACCGTTTACAACAAATTAAAACCAACAGTGATAAAAATTGACTAAGACAACATATTAAAACTGACATGAGAACTAATCTGGGAATGCATGTGGGAAGAGATACATCCTAAACTCCCTCTTAAGGGTGGCAATTTGGGAATTCAAACACATCTTTCCTGGTAGACCATTCCACAGTGTAGGGAGAAACTGAAAGTGTTCTCTGTGTTGTTAACACTGATCACACAGAAGCGGGCTTCAGGAGTTTATCTCCAGAGGACCTTAGCTGGTGAGGTGGAATCTATGGGCAAAGGTGCTCCAGAAGGTAAAATATGCCTGAGAAGATTACATTATGCTACCAAGCATGGCAAAACCCAACACTCAGTTGGTACCTACAATGGCTAGACTCCACTGGAGACATGCTTGCCGAAGCGCAATAGAAATGGATGAGAGATGCACAGACAGGTTTCTCATAGGGTATAAGCACCCCCATGTGGCAAGATTCCAGATGCTCAGATCCTGAAAAGGTGTGATTTCTTTACCATACCTAATAACTACTGCAGTGAAATTGCTTAACTGCTTTAGAAAACAGTTTCATTCCATCAGTTCTAACTTCGTTTGAAGCAATGCCTGCCTGTGCTCCAGCACCCCAGCAGGACTCCCTGCTATGTCTGCTCTGGGATCCCCTTTAACAGTAGGCTGAGAGACAACCATTTCAATTCTCCACAGTGCTCTTGAATGATGCTGGATGACATGGTAAGGCATTGTGGTTATTGAAACAGCAGTTCTGAGCTATCCAGCTGTGATGAGTGTGTACAACGTTAGCTTCCTACTGCTGCTGCCTGTCAGGTTAGCTCACTGAGATGAGGGAGCCCACCAGAAGATATGCCAAAGCCCTTCCCCATATTCTGCCAATAGCAATGGCTCTTTTTGGGATCCAGAGACAATAAGGGTAAATGTCAAAGCACTTAGTTGGCAGACTACAGAAAAGAGACTATAAAGATAAAGTAAGTACAAAATACAGTGTTTGCATCCTTTCTGCTATCAGAAAGCCCTCAAAGAAATGACAGCAAATGGACTCATGGCTGGCATGCAGCTGTTTCTTCAACTTGGTCTGTATTGCAGTTCTGGTGATAGGAAGATTCTCTAACCTTATATAGGTTTTTTGGTGTTCACTATGAGCACATATGATCTCATTAAACCAGACATAATTATATAACTACACAATTGCTACATAATTGGGGAAGAATCTTAAAAGATAACAGCATATACATCTTGGACACTTCTGTGCAGGGACTGACCTTGGCCGGGCCCACCTTGTGGGAAACAACAGTTTTCATATTGGCAGAGCTACTGCCCAGATCCTCCCGGTTTCCAGGCCATATCCAAGCACTGAATGATGGGCAACAGGTACTGAATGACATTCCTGGAGGTTGTCTGTCATTAGGCTACATTCAAGGCCATCTGAAAACAAAATTAGTTAACAAGCTCCACATAGGCAACTCTACACATCATGAGCTCAATGGCACTAGGCAGCAGAGGGCAAGAGATAGCAGTAGACAGCTAGTTCAGGCCCAGTGGAGAAGAACAAAGAGTAACAATAGCTGTACAGAGAAGCCTCAGACAAAAGGATGAAATGGTCATGCACCACCGTCTCCTCATGATCACAGTGATCTTTCAGGCATTAACAAAACACCCAAGAAAGCTCAAGCTGATCCTGTGTCCAGTATTTCTTGTTCTCTTTTATCGTCTTCCTGGGATCTTTCTTACATTGGGGGGCTGTGATCTATAAGTGAGTTCTTCAGATTGGGAATGAATGAAAAACTCATTCCATTTACATTTCAATTCGTGCATCCCAGATTCACACTTCAACACTGAAACGCTTATACATCGAAACCTGTTCTTTTTCAAAGTTTCTAATGCAGTTCACAAAAAGGGGGCATGTTAAAAATGCGTATATTTGTCATAGTGTGTGCAGAATTTGTCTATTTGGAGAAGTGCACACAAAAACAGATTATTCAATGGAAAAATCGAAATGGCAAAACACGTGCATTTGAAACTATATATGTTGAAAATGTGCATGAAAATATGAATTTCCATGAATGAATTTCCATGTGAAATAAACTGTAGAAACTGAACATAATGAAGCAGTGGAAAAATGAGTATCTGAGTGAACTATGTGACCATCCCAACTTCAGAATTTTCCTTCACACTGCTCATTTGCATTATGTTAATTTTGTTATTTGTTTTAGAGGATACATTTTTGTGGTCTTTATATGCAATTTTTATTTTGTATTATGTTTATAGAATGTCATATAATTGTGTGTTACGTCCCCAGGGGGCTGCATGGGCTTTAAACATAATATATACATATTTAAAATAAATACATGGATGAATGATCTCAGGGATATGCAAAGCTCAGGCGAGTGTATTAGCATTAGTCTTTTTAATTGGCTCTTGTCTGATCATGTTAGGGTACAGTCCAGTGGAGATCAGAGGACTGTGGGCATCCTCAGCAGATCAGGAGGGGCACGCAAGTGAAGGCTGTCTCCCTGGCTTCCCACTCTGCAAAGCAGCTGGACCTCTGGCTTCAGGTGTCTTGCTGCAGTGCTTCAGGCAGAGAGAGCAGGAAGTTAAAGCACCGGCTGGCTACCTCGTATCTTAGCAGTGCCCATCACCTTCCTCCCATTCCTGCCCCCAAAACCCCTCTTCTGAGGTCAGTCCTCCAATTTTGAAGAAGCAGCGGGCAAGGTTCTTTCTGGGTTAGCTGTGAAGGGGAGAGGGTGCACCAAGCATCGGTCACCCGTCGGAGACCAGAACTGTTTTCCAACCTCGGGAAAACAAGTGAATCCAAGGTCCAGATTTATGTATAGTCTTACTCTGGCTTTCAAAGCTTGTCCTGTTGTATTTCTGGCTACTTGGGCCATTTATCTGGGTTGTAATGCCTGCTTGTTTCTCTGATGTCCTTAGGGCTGCCTCCTGGCATAACACAGCCACCCACTCCTTCCATCCAGTCTTTACCAGCCATGTATTATGGTCACCCCATTCACTCTTGGCTATTCAGTTGCTCTTCAGTTCCCCACAGCCCGTCCTTCTATATCGGCATCCACCAGCCAGCAAGCTTTCTCCTTCTCTTCACAAGACAGATTCATTTCCTCTCTGTCAACTCTTAACTGTCAGCTGTCATTTTCCAACTGTGCTCTTCCACCTGCTCAAGAATCATGTGGCTAATGGGGCAGGCTAGAAAGTAAATAAATACATACACCTAGAGCTAATCAAAATTAAAATTACATTTTTTACACAAGCAGGCAAAGGGAAAAAAAGAATCTGCCTGACTTAAGCCCCATCTATATCTGTTCAGAGCAATCAGGTCTCCCCCTTTCGCTGGAATGTCCCCAAGCACCTACTGCTAAAACAGGCTTTCAGTGCAATAACTCAGTACGGCTCCAGCTCACACAGATGCCATATTTCTCTCACAGGCCACACTGAGTATTTATAGAACCCAACAGTAATATTTGTGACATTTCTTCACACCTAAAATAATTTTCAACATGTGAATAAATATATGCATCTCTCTTTATGCTAAAGTTTCTAATTGCTAGAATAATTGAATACCTTTCATCTCATAAGAATGTTGTGAGTATTCCAATGGACATTCTGCCTTTTTTATTACTCCTGGAATATCTGGATTAGCACAGTCATTCAGCCAATTCTGTTTAGAGCTTGGCTTTCCCACTGTGCTTCTCTCAGTAATATCACAAGACTGTGTCCCCAAAGAATTCATTAAGGGTTATTTAAATGTTACACCATGCTTATAAATTCCTCTTGGGACATTTTAATGTTCCTTAAATGGCTTCCTTAAATCCAGGGAGAGTTCTTCCCAGAAAGAGTTTAAACTACAAATTGAATATTGCTTCCATCCACAAACTGTCCAGTCTTGTTATTATGAATTTTATGGAACTTGCTTATGACCTTGAACAGACCTTGGCAAAAGAGGAAGCTTTGATTTGTGGAAGCTGGACTTGCACTCAGTAGCTGATTTGAAAAGATATGAATGATTCAGAGTAAGCACACTCCATCTTACATAACAAGACAAGATGAAACTCAAATATTGATGTATTTCTAGGGGTTTTTCAAGATCTATATAGGAAATGTTAAGGAGACAATATGTGCTGCAAAACTGTCCATATCATCTAAGTCTATGCAGATGTTCTAGCTATAGCATCTTAGACATTCCATCATCTGCTTTTTGTAACATCTTCCCAATTGGACATCTGGAGACCTCAAAAAGTTACATATTTTGATCTGGCTTATAAATTTATTATACTACACAACTAATATATTATACAGATTTTCATTTTTTTATGGCCAAATGTCTGCCTTTGTTTTTTATATTTTAGGAAAGCTGAACCTCAAAGACAGGGAGGAGGCAGATGAAATAAACATCCTGTTCTTAATCAGGTTCTTAATGTAGTTTGATAACAACTTAATTGACATCCTTTAAAAAACTTACATAATAAATGCTTACAAAGGATTTCTAGTATGAGTCTATAATTATTAATCTATATATTCAAAAGTTGTTCCAAATAAAAGCCTAACTACAGTTTCGGCTTGCAGAATAAATGCAGCTGTGCATTTCAAAAGCTGTGCCACACAGTCATCCAGATGAGATAGGCTAGCATGAATCTGTCTCTGTCCGGATAGGGATGTAATTGGTGCATTAGGCTTAGCCAATAAAAGATGCTCTGGTTCACCCCTGCCTCTAGTGACAGTGCTGAATCCAAGAGCATACACCAGCTATGACCTGATTCTTTAGGGGAAATGCAGTCTTCTCCAGAATAGGTTGAACCTCACTTAGCCAAGCAAGTTAACCAATCGGCAAGGGTACTGCTATCTCATCTGGACTCAGCCTTGGTTTATTGTCTCTCTTCAAGCCCATTTCTCTGATTCAGAACATACACAGTCTCACCTGGGTTTGATAAAATGAAGAGTGAGAGATGGTTTCATGTAGTGATTACATAGAGAATAGAGCCCTGTAGCTCTCCATAGCCCACCTGTCAAGGTGGAGAGCAATTATTCCCCCAGCACCACTTTTTGGAATCAGCCATGAAAGTAGGAGCAGAACCACTGCAATGCAGTGCCTCCAATCCAGGCAACTTGTCCAGAAGAATACTATGATGACAGTATCAACACCACCAAGAGTTCCAAGAGAATCAACAGGGTCAAGCTACCCATCTCCCTTTGTTGACAAAAGCAACTGCATATCCTTTTCAGTAGCAAAAAAGTACCAATCATTTTTAGTCCATTTTTAAGGTGCCTGCAGTTCCTGGGCTTTTGCATCTCTTCAAACAGCACTATCTTAAAATGGGCTTCAGTAGGCACGTTTCCTAGTGAAAATTGCTTGGGCTTCAGAATCTGGCTTGTGCAGTGTATTCCTCTGCCTCTCTACTCAGAAGTAAGACCCCTATGGTTCAAAGAACCTATTTGCAAGTGTGTATAAGGGTTACCTTCTTCAATGTGGTGTTATTTTAAAGGGATCAGTGAGTCTTGTTTGCTTTCTTATCCATTTATGTCCCAGCTTCCCTACAAGACAGATAGATGGGATCATCCAGGTTTTTGCTTCATGGTGTTTGTTGAATGAGATAGACTAGGTGGAGATAGACTAGGTGCCCAGGCTACCCAGTGAGCTGCATGGGTGAGCAAGGATTTGAGATCAGCTGTCTCAGGCCCAGTTCCAACCCTCTCTCTGCTGCACTGGTGTAATAGTGATTCAGGGGTGATCCCTGGCTTCTGCCAACTTCAACACCGCTTCTTAGGAAAGCAAAAAGCAAAATCACCCATCCTGCTTGTTTTACACAGTGTTCATTTTAGGACAAACACAATGGAGACCAGTTATTCAAGTAGCCACATTAGCAGGAACAAAAGAGCTTATTCTTCCCACATTGCCCTGGGGGAGATGGCCCCTTCTCAAAATATTAATTCTCTATTCACTATAGTGCTTCTTCCACATACTTTAGCACAGTTGCCACAATGTCTACATTGGTACTGAACTTAAGTGGGCAGCGTTTTTAAAAAGGGAAGGAATACTTGCATCTCCTTCTGACATTTTCCTGAGTTGGAGAATGGCAGAATTAAAATATACCAAAGTAATAAAAATAGTTGCAATCAAGCCATGATTTAAAAGTAAACAGACCAAATTCACCTGCTGAAAAGTTGAGGGCACAGTCCCATGCAATTTAGGCAGAAAACAAAGGCCTCCAACTCCAAGCACACGTGCCTTTACTGTAGGCATTTTTTCTGTCTAAACATTCATGGAATTGAATTCTAAGTCTCTTGAAAACTATGGCTTTTCTGTTAGTTGACTTATGGGGCTGTGACACCAATATCTGCCCTCAAAAGATGTGTAGCTCTCGCAATATCTAGCTTTCATATGTAAATACTGGAAAAATGAGATCTATACTCCATTTATCATAGCATCCTTTCTCTGTTAGATAAGGAGCTTCAGGGAATGCATAGACAACACTGAATGTTCCTCTTCCTTTTCACTTCCTTGAATGCAAAATTTAAAATAGCCAAGGGATGGGGCAAAGATCCTGACCATCTTTCCTAACAGCCACATCCCTGGCCCATATGAATGTTGGCTTTATTCATTCTGATGATAACTGACTGTTGTTTTCTTTTTCCTTTATTCTCATGAAGTATATTTGGTGCTGTTCGAACGGGTGCTTATATGGTGTACATTTTGATGACCAAAGGACTGAAGCAGTCAGTTTGTGATCAGAGTTTTTACAATGGACCTGTCAGCAAATTCTGGGCTTATGCATTTGTGCTAAGCAAAGCACCAGAACTAGGTGAGTGCCCTCTCTTTCTTCACCTTATGGAGTACATTTGAAGCAAACGAGCAAGGCTGTAAAAGGAGGTCACGAATGCTTTTTATATTTTGCAGTCAGTCAATACATAAATCAATCAGTATCCCCATCTTTCCCATATTTGTTGTCTCAAATTATTCTGTTCAACTAAGCTAAATTGTTAAAAGTGAACCAGAAAGGTAACAATCCAAACCTGTGAAGGATTATTTATGAAACCATGCTGTTTTCATTTGGATTATTAAGGCTTCTAGATGTTTTGCTGTTGCCGTTCCTTCTGCCAGGCTTCAGTTCTGCTCCTGAATGAGAAACTGGCATCTCAGCAACCACGCAAGGCCATTCACCAACTCAGTGAGTGGTCAGTGCAGCCACAAAATCTGACCTGTTGCTATAGTGCCTCTTCCCTTAGTTAAAGCCTCATGCAGCCCTTTGCAATGCTTCAGATGTTTCAGATGATTCCCAGCCAGCATGGTCAATGCTCAGGGATTATGCAAGCTGTAATCTAGAGTATTTGGCAGGCTCCAGGTTGTTATCTATTTGAAACAGTCCCCATCAGCATCTTGCAGGTGACCAACATACATCATTTTGATAACACCAACTGCAGATCTTGTATGGAAAAGTCAGCCTTGCAGATAGCCTGCTCCCACATGGAGCTTTACACCAGTGCTTTAAATTCTGGCCACGATGACTATTAGTTGGTGAAGCTCCTGTAACAAGGGAGTCCTGTGCTCCTCATAACTGACCACAGTCAGCAGGCTGCCCACAGCATCCTGAGCCAGCTGAAGCATCTGGATAATTTTTAAAGGCGGTCCATTTAGAATCCGTCAAAGTAATGCAGGTGGGATGCATCCAAGCCAGGCACAACCCTGGCCAGATCCAGTTGGGTGCAGACATGCTTCTAACCACCACCAAACCCTTGGCATCCAGGTTCAGCATTAAGTCAAGACGTATACCCAGACTCTATTCCCTTTAGTAAGAGTGGCAGTATCTGACAGCCTGATCCTGTGTTTGTTTATTTAGAAGTAAGTCTTTTCAGTTAGAACTAGTGGAGTGCACTTACATAGGTACTAATTAACTATGCTTTGTAGCACTTTCAGTGCTTATTCTTTCCATGACATGTCAAGCATTGAGCAAGGGGCTGGACTCGATGGCCTTACAGGCCCCTTCCACCTCTACTATTCTTTGGCTTGATGTAAACATTAACCTAATTCATCCTATGCCTGTGTCATGAAATAGCTTGTGGTATAGTCTAAAAGTTTCACATGGAAATAACAGTTATTTGCTCCATGCAAATGTCTGACCATATGTTGTAAATCTCCCAGGTAGCTTTGGCTATTGAGTGGTATAGGAATTAAATAAATACGTAAATAAATAAAATCTGCCCTAGCTAAGACATATTTCCATCTAAGCGGAAAAGAATTCTCAAGGCCTTTTATTTATCCCCATAAAAATAAAAATAAATACAGTAACACAAGATATGTACCGCCAGTATTTTTTTTTATTCTTATTCTTAATTTTTGCCTTGTGAATTAATGCTAATATCCTCTGAATACTTGGGAGTGCACTGGGTTATACACACATGGTCAAACATATATACTATACATGCACATGGTACAGGGCTGTAGAAGAGGAATACAGCTTCTTTACATGAATAGCAAAGTGCTTGTAAGCCAAACTCAACCCTTTTCAACTGTTTTTCTACAGTTTCATTCCCAACCATTTCAGAAAGCTTGTAATCAGCACCCCATCCGTTCTGCTGGTAATTTTCACATATTGGTTTGCTTATCCTGAGCCTCATTAGGTTGATTCTAATTGGATGTAGGTAACAGTGATCTGGCAGAATTTCCCGGGCTTGTTTCTTAGGAAACCTCACCAGGCTGCCAATTGTACAAAATAATGATGAATATTTAGAATATGTGATTTTCATGAATTGCTGATGTTCAGCAGAAGCCAAGAGGAAAAAATATAACTCCAGCCTTTATATGTCAAGAGTCTCTAACTTCCTACTGTTTGAAGTATGTGAAAACCTACTAAGATTTAGCTAAATTAGTCTGCAGTTGCTTATTGAAATGTGACTTAGCATTTCTGCTGCTAATGAAGCAGTTGGCTTGGCTGCTGATTTAGGTTACAATCCTAAGCACATGTACTTGGAAGTGATCCCCACTGGATTGGCTTACATATAAACATGTTGGGGATTGAGGTGTTAATAATGAAGGCACAGCTTGCATCCAGTCCTTTCCTGCTGGTTTTTATTTGAATTTTGAAGGATGTGCATGCAGAGAAATATATTTGGGGCCCAGAAACAGCCCTGGAGCTTTTCTTCTTCAAAAGCTCTGTTGCTTTAAATTGGTTGATATCTAAAAACAAGAAAATTATATTTAAAAAGAACATTAAGGGAAATTATGGAAAAGGGAAGGAGGGAAACAAGGAAGGGAAAAAAGAATTTTTGAACAGTAAGGAATAAGATGTATAGTTTCATAACTGATAAAGGTTTGGGGGATTGTGGGAGGGGGACTGTTAGGAAATATGTTGATTTACAATGTGTTGGGCCCAGATTTATCTTGGATCAACTCAGCTGATGAAAATGAATTTTCTCACACTCTCCTTCTCACAGTATTCCCTCCACCCCCTTGAAAATTCAACACAGAAAGTCAGGAGTTGGCAGGTATGGGGCAGAAGGATCTCCAAAATCAAGCAGAGGGACCTTCCACAGGCTGAACCCATTGTCTTGTAGAAGATAGATCCTGGATCCATTTTTATATAAAGCAACTTCCTCTCTGACTTAAATTTATTGGTTACAACCAAAAGAACTAGATTTCTTTGAAAAAGAGTTACCTGGTAATTTTTCAACCGCAGGGGAGAGTCAAAAGCCTTTTTGTGATGTGGCATATAAAAAAGTCAAATTCCCCTGTGGTTTTCTTGAAATTAAGCTACATTCTAGGTTCATTCCAGCCCTATTGCATTTGCAATGTGTTTATATTTCCATCTGCTTGCCAAACAGACAAAACTGTGTGTCCAATTCCAAAGTAACTTTTTGCTTGCTTGCTTGTTTAGCAGATACCTGCTCTAGTGAAAATGCAAATACCTATTTCCTGCATCACAGCTACGATACAGGAGTGCAGGCATTACCACATCAGTAGTCGCATATGATATCACTCCGTTGAGATATTTTTCATTTTGAAATAAATGTTTGCATCACAACTTATGGCCTTAGAAAGAATACCTGGAAGGCAACTTGTGAATTTTACATCATTCTATGTTACATTTTATTATTTATTTATATGTTTGTTAAACTTGTATTCCACACTAATTGTCCTGTGGGACGCTCTAGGTAGATTACAACATAACAGCATATTTACTTCAAATACGTTCCAGTATGAAAGCTGAGATTGTGCAATCTACAGAGTGTTGAAATTCATGAGACTAACTTCTAAGTAATGCATTCACAACTGAGGTGTGAAGCGATTTTTTTTCCTGTACACTCTTGCCAAAGGGACAAGTTGTTCAGATAGGAATTCGTATATTTGCTATCCCCAAAGCTGCAATCCTGAGATGCTATCCCTGGGGCAATGGGAGAGATCAGATCTTCCCCTCCCCACTATCAGATCTCCAGCCTTCAAGTATGAGACCTGATCTGGGATCCAAATTTCCAGGCCTACAGAATCCTTCTTCAGCTCTTCTTTCTCTGACATTGGAGCTCCAGTGTCAAAACAAGGAAAAAGAGGGCAGATCAGGAGGACAGCATGGGAAGAACAGATGAACCTCTGGGTATCTAGCATCCAAAGGTTCCTTAGGCCTTTGCCACACCACCATCATGGGCAAACATGTGGACCAATCTGAGAACAAAATGCTTTGATCAAAATACTGGTTTGGGAGTAAAGCACAGCCCCATGTGAGATGTTAGAGTGCTCTAAGTCTGGAATGCTCCTAGGATTATTCTACCCAGAGAATGAATGACTTTGGAACCTACTGCTGTGACTTAAATCTAATGACCCCAGTAACCATAGTATAATTAGACTTTGGATCAATATGCTTTTCTTTCCTCTATATTTAACTGCTATTTTGCTTGTGTGGGCACTGTATGAATATAAAGTTATGGGTGGCTCATCTGTCCATTTGGGCGATATTCAACCTCTTATGGGGGGTTGCACTCTCCCTAGAATCATAGAATGGTAGAGTTGGAAGGGGCCATGAAGGCCATCGAGTCCAACCCCCTGCTGTTGCAGGACACCAATTTACACCATCCCACTAAAGGACAAGGTTGGTAGTTTGGGGTGCTCCTGGATCCAGAGATGTCAACTGAGGCACAAGTGGATTCAGTGGCACGGAGGACCTATCATCAGCTTAAGCTTATGAACTACAGCCCTGTCTGGACAGAAAGAGCTCTGGTAACGTCCCGCCTGGATTACTTTAATGTGCTGTACATGGGTCTGCCTCTGAAAGTGGTCTGGGGAATTCAGCTGATTCAAAACAAGGCAGCGAGATTGTTCATGGGGACTGGGTTATGAAAACATACCATGCCAGTCCTCTTCCAGCTGCACTGGCTACCAGTTGAAGTCTAGGTCTGATTCAAAGGGCTAGTATTAATTCAGCTTAATCCAAAGCCCTAAAGCATTTGGGGCCAGGTTATCTGAAGGAATGCCTTTTCTTGCATGTTCCTACCCAGATCCCGAGGTCATATTTCTGTGAGTCAGTGTGGTGTAGTGGTTAAGGGTGTGTGAATAAGACTCAGCTGACCTGGGTTTTAGTCCCTGCTCAGGCATGGAGCCAACTGGGTGACTGTGGGCCAGTCACAGACTCGCAGCCCAGCCTACCTCACAGGGCTGTTGTTGTGGGGATAAGATTGAGTGCAGGAGGAGGACAATTATGTGAGCCACTTTAAGTTCATTGTAAGGAAAAAGGTGGGATATAAATCAAATAAATGAATATCTTTGGGGCTCTTTCTCTGGGAGCCCCCTCCCAAGGCAGTGAGGTGGGAGGCTACCAGTTGTGGCACCCCAGCTCCTGTTGTGGCACCCCAGCTATGGAATGAGCTCCCCAGAGAGTTACACAGGGTGCCTACTCTGTATTCTTTTCATCGCCAGTAACCCTCTTCCTATTTCCCCAGTATTTTAACAGCTACCTTTTTAACTTCAGTGTTTATACTGCATTTTAACCTGAACTTTTGCTCAACCTCTGTGCTGTTTCATTTGCAACTGCTGTGGTTTTATTGTCTTAATGTTTTTGGGGTTTTCTTTGTGTTTTTAACTTTTGCTAACTGCCCAGAGAGCCTTGGCTATTGGGCAGAATAAAAATCTAATTAATTAATTAAAAGTGTAGTAGAAAATGTCTTTAATGGAATGTTCCTTTAACAGTAGCAATAGGAATATAGGAAGCTACATTAGCTACCCTAACCCATTCATTCATCTAGTTCAGTACTGTTGACACAGATTGGTAGCAGCCCTTTGGGTTTTAAGCTCTGTGTCTGTGTGTGTGTTTCCCCCAACTCTGCCTGAAAATGACAGCACTTGCACTAGGGAACTTCTGTTTGCAAAGCATGCACTCCACCAAGTGAGTAATAAACCCTTCCTGTAACATACGCCATGCTCCATAGAAAGTTGACCTTGTTTTCATTTCACATAGACAGAAAAACAGCTCTAAGCTGTCACTGTGTTCTAAATCTCCTTCCAAAATTAAGTCTTATATCAATAGTGTATTGAACAGAAGTGGCCCAACTGTTGGTGGCTTTTGGCAGTATCACATAGGGATAAGCAATCTGTGACCCTCCAAGTACAGTTAATATCAGCAACAGCTACCACAGCCAATGGTCAGAGTTTTGTAGTTCAGAATCTTTGAACAGCAGAAGTTTGCCAAGCCCTGGTACAACATACCACAGGAGTCTCTATCATGGTGGCAATGCATGTCCGTGTGCCCATAGACAATCTCTCCTGGTGGTCCCCATGACCCTTGTTCTTCCAGATTTTTAATGCTTTTTTTAAAAGAAAAAATTGGAATCTGACATTGCAAAGTCAAGTACTCCCTCCAGTGCCATCTTTATTTGGGTTCAAAAGAGTGTCTCTGTGTTTTGGAGTTCAAACCCTGCCATTTCTTGTCCAGTTCCTGGACAAGACACGTTTTCCTGCATATCACCAATTTTTCTTCTTGGAAATTAGTATTCTGTGATCAGCCGTGCTCACAGGGGAAGCCATGTTATGAATGGACAAAACCCAAGGCCAGCCATTGTTTGAAAGTTCTCACAACAGTATCTCAAAATCTCAGATGTGTCCACTGGCCCCAGAAATGTTCCCACATCTTTAAAAACTGTGCCTAGCATAGCTGCACCTCTGTTATCCACGTCGCATTGGTGGGGCCTATTGCTGGTTCAACAGGAAGCCAACACTTCCTGCAATAACCCCAGAATGCTTTTATCTGAAATGGAACAATCAGTAGAGCTCACTCCTATGAAATCTGCTGAGCTGTTTCACTCTGGAAACAAGCATTTTAACTCCTACCCCAAGCATGAGCACTAGACTCTGTTGGTGCATTGTATGCTACACTTTGCCGTGTAACTCATAACTGTGTTTCAGTTCTGATATATTTTCTTATTTTATTCTCCAGGAGATACAATATTTATTATTCTTCGGAAACAGAAGCTCATCTTCCTCCACTGGTACCATCACATTACTGTACTGCTTTATTCTTGGTACTCCTACAAGGACATGGTGGCTGGCGGTGGCTGGTTTATGACCATGAACTATGGAGTGCATGCCGTCATGTACACTTACTATGCCTTGCGGGCTGCCGGCTTCAGAGTGTCACGCAAATTTGCCATGTTTATCACTTTGTCGCAGATCACGCAGATGTTCGTCGGCTGCATAATCAACTACCTGGTCTTCGCCTGGATGCAACAAGGCCAGTGCCACTCACACGTTTCAAACGTAGTTTGGTGTTCTCTCATGTACCTCAGCTACTTTGTGCTCTTCTGCCATTTCTTCTTTGAGGCCTACATTGGCAAAACCAGAAAAGCAAGGAAGGCCGATTAAAGCTAGAAACAAGACAGAAGCCACTGCTCAGGTCATCCACCAAACAACAAACACAAAGAAACATAAATGGCACAAGGAAATATTTATCTATGGTGCAACTAAAACTTAGCAGCTAAGGGACAGCTAGGTTTGTTCAAACCAGTAAGTTTATGATCCTGTCATGGTGAGGACTCACTGAACGATCTTGCATCTCAAAACGCTGCTGCCAGGCATCTGCCTTCTTGCACCTGTTTGCTCTTAAACACAAATTTAAAAAAGAAGGAAAGAAAAGCAAAAGAGGATAACCATTTTGCAGAATAAAATATTATAATGCATTGTTTCCCTGAGCATAAATTACTTTTATTTTAAAAAACAAACAAAACACATAAATACTTAATTATTTATATGTACTTTCTAACCTTTTCTTTTCAATACAAAACTTGAACAAAAGGTAAGCAGAAGAGACAGCCAGTCAGTGTTAGCCGAGCATTTGAAGCTGCCTTGTACTGTCAGAGCACTGATCCATTTAGCCCTATATTGTCTACTCTGACTGGCAGCAACTCTCCAAGGTCTTAGGCAAATGCCTTGCATCCTGAGATGGCTTTTTCAACTGGAGATTCCAGGGATTAAACTGGAAACTTCCATATGCAAAGCATCTGCTCTCCCACTGAGTGATGACCCCTCCAAATACTACCAGTATTTTTTCCCTAAGTGACGATCTTTCTCCTCAAAAGGGTTAAACCCTAAAACCCCAGGTGTGAAATTTGAAGGTTAATCAGGAGTGTCTGTTAGAGCCAGCCATTCTAATCTCCACTGAAGTAATCTAAATGGAGAATAATTGGTTTATTTTGTTCTGTACTGTGTACTATGCTGTGAGAAGATCTGCCATGTGAACTAAAGTTTTGCACTGAGATCTTGAATTAAGTAAGTATTGTCAAGATGTATATATCAGAGAGAGTTTGTTCAAGTGCATTTTCAGATCAAAAGCAAGGCATAAAAGAAAGCAGTTCAATATACAGTCAGTTAGTCTTAGCTATGTTTGCTTGGGGCTATTAATAAAGGAGATCAGATGGGGTGTTACAAAATATACATTGTTATAGAGCAGGCCAGTTCTCAGAAATGCTCTGCAGCTGCGGCATTGTGCAGGTGTTAGAGTTTAATGATCACTGTTTTTCTCAAGGCCAGAATAGTATACTGCTTCAATTGCACAGGATGTCTTTAAGTATTATTGTAATGGGTTCATTGAGATGGAATATATCATCCACTTCACTTTTCCAAAGTCTTTTCTATGAGCTAGGTAGTTCTAGTTAAAATCTCTTTGAGAAGCTGAATGGTTTCTGATATGTTTTTTTTTTTTTTCTGCATATGTCCCCATGAACTGTTCCAAGCACCACCTTGTGAAAGCAAAATGCTACAATTGGGCTGGTCTTTGGAACAAGAGCTGGTGTGCAGGAGTGTCATGCTTGTGGTGGCATCCCTTTTTCCTCCCTTCTATGTCCATGGACGGCTCCAGTTCATGACCAACCAATAAGTCTGTGTCCTGAAGAGCAGAATCCTATGCACGGCTGCCTGGGAGCTGTGGGAGCAGCAGGGTTTATTTCTGTGTAAACCTGCATAGGATTGTGCCCTACGTGTACTTGTGATTGATTACTGTATCCTATCATACATCCCAAATGGAGATGGTTTGCAGTGATACATGCAAAATGTCTGGTTCTGCCTCTAGTAAATGACTCCAAGTAACCATGATTGAGGAGATGAGGCAGACAGAAGGAAGGAACCAGTGGCTGCCCGAAGCACAGCACGGCCCTGAAGTGATAGCATTTAAGTGCAATTGGAGTGAAAGGTGCAAAGACAAACCAATTTTAATATCTTTAGAAAGGTTTTGTTAGTGTTGGATAGGAGCTTCAGGAAAAGAAACAAAAACCTGTGTGGTATGGGACATATTTTATATTTTTATGAACTTTGAAGAATAGATATTTGCAACCTTAATAGCATTCTGCAGGACTATATGTGACTTTAGGTAACACTGTGCTTCTGCATTTGCTTTTCAAGCAAGGCAAAGATGTTTATAAGTGCCCTCCTCTGGTCACTGGAAGATACTACAATAAAAGGCATGTTTGGCATCATCATACTGGAAGTTTTAAAAGGGGGAAAGCCTGAATGGAATCATTGTGCTGCAATGAACTAACTCTAATGTCCAGAGAGAACCATCCTTACTTTCAAAACATAATGTGTAGGAAAATATATTGTAGCATCCTTAACTGTTAAAGAAGAAAACAGAAAAAAGACATCTGGTTCTTTGATCAGCTGCAGATACACATATTGCAGATACAAAATACTTCACTCTGAAGCTCAGAGAATTAGCTGAAAAGAGCCATATTTTCTACAAGGAAAAGTAGAGTGTATTATCTGTAAGATTTCAGTCCTTACAAAGCCAAATAAAATGTATAAGCATTCCTAGTACTTCAAAGAATAAGTATGTAAACTTGATGTTATAACTGTGTTAACATAGTATTCTCAATTGTATCAGTTTGGTAGCTTAAACAATTAGAAGAACTAGAGGAACCAATTAAGAACTGCTATTCTACTTAGAAAATCATACATGTCTATAACATACACCCATAGCACAGTAGGTGAGTTGTCCAAAAAAAATTTAAGTTGGAAGGCAGAATCACTTTTACTTTTCTGGCTACTGCAAAATATTGTCAAGTTTCTTGCTTTAATCTGAAACTGTACAATGCAAAGTATTATTTTTCTCTCCTTATTTTAGCTTCATCTGTGCTGTCTGCCATTCAAGGCACAGAGCTGATGTAATATCCTGTTAGACATAACAAGGGCTTTTAGTGTTTCACTGTGTGCAGAAAAAATGCTACATTCTGTATTACGTGAATAGTGTTTTTAAGAAAAGAAAAAAGAAAAACTCTCTGAGGCTGAAACATAACTGTGAAAATAGGGGGGGGGGAGTTTATATCTGTGTCATTTAAGTTATTGATGTTCTGACATTGTTATCCAGTACAAGAAGAACAGTAAAATGTTATATTCAATAGAACATATTACTTGATCTTAAATTATAGGACTCCTGTATCAATGAAAATATCAATTAAAATGTAGACAATGTTATTTTACAGCTTTGAAAGTAAATTATATTCCACAATAAGCCTTTATAAAAACAAATAAGACTCCTGCTTAAATATTATTGTTCCAATCTGCAATCTGAAGCAAACAAAAATCAGTGTTTATAGAAATAGAAAATTATTGGAAAATCGTAAGCAACTCCAAATTTTGCATTAATTTCTGTGTCTGACATTTCTCTTTACTTGTGTGTAGACTGACCTCCCAGATCATCTTTCTCTCTCCAAAAATCAGTCTTGAAATAAATGAAAAGGCATTTTACAAGGAAAGCTAAGAGAAGTGTTATAATTTCTTTTTTCTAAATCAAAAAATCAAAGAAATGAACTACACTGATCAGAGGATAACCTGAGACATCAGTCTTCCATATATATATGGAATTATATACTTCTGAATGAACATTTATAAAATTCCACTCTTGATTTAAAACTGCTTTTCTCATATTTTTCTTTTGCATCACTAGCACTGACAAGTAACACTTCAGAAACCCAAATTTGCTGTCAATATCATTTCTAAAACTGTTCTAAAATGCCATTCTATGCATATTTACCCAGAAGTAAGCCTTACTGAGTTCAGTGGGATTTTAGCGTAAAGATTGCAGCCCAATTCCTCTTTTTTATCGATTTATTAATATAAAGGAACATTGGCAATTGCAAAACTAGTAACAATAACTGGCATGATTCAGCCCAAGGGGAGCATTTCCATATCCAATTAATATAACAATTTCTGTAGGAGTTAACTTACCCATGGAAGCCAATGGACCTTAAAAGTACTTAACGTAAGCTGGAAGGTGTCCATTTCCTACATATATAGTATTTTCAGACATATCATTTTTTCTCAAAATATGTAAAACAACCTCTCCTTGATTGCTTGTTGCTATCAAGTTCAGTGTGATTAGTAATTTGTAAGTGAGTTTGGGTTATGGTTACCCAAATACTCCAAATATTCTTTCCTTATTGAAGAGGCTTTTGGAAACTAGACCCGAGTGCAGCTCCATAAGGGGTAAAAGTAACTGCCTATTAAACAGAACTTACTTTATCATCATCACTGAGACACCACATGCACAAACACACACCCCTTAAAAATATATGCACACTTTATCAAAACATAGAAACAGAGCAAGTCAGAAGGGGTCTCCCGGACCATCTAGCCTGACCCCCGGCTCCAGCCAGCTCCACTCATGCTATGCCCACCATGTGCACGTCCAGCCTGTCCTTGAACAGCCTCACCCATGGTGCTTAACCACCTCCCATGGAAGCCCATTCCCTAGGGGTCCTAACCACCAGGAAGTGCTTCCTGGCATCCACCTTGCATCTTGGTTCCCTGAACCTTGCTCCATTGGAACATATCCTGCCCTCTACCACAGGAGAAAAAGGGTCACAACCCACCTCTGCGTGACACCCTCTCACATACCTGTATGTCACTAACAGGTCCACTCTGAGTCTCCTCAAGGCTGAAAAGACTCGGTTCCTTTGGTCTCCCCTCCTATGGCTTACCCAGCAAACCAGCCACAATCCTTGTGGCCCTTCTTAAAACACGTACCACCGCATCAGGTATAGCATATGGTGATAGTTTATGATCACATGTTTTCAACAAAGCTATTTTTCTTAGAGTATCCATTACATTAAGGCTTTCCCACCCCTCCTACACACACACATACACACAAACCTCACAAAGAAAAGGTCCATGTGTGCATGCAATATAATACATTTGCGGAACTCAGGTTGGGCAGCAAGGTAATGATTTGCCTAATGCAAAAACCACATTGCACATATTGATTTCACAGCGTTTAACCATGCCTAGCAGTTGGACTTAGGCTCTTGCTTTTACCAAGACGTGAAAGGAGTCCAGGTGGTACCAGGAGCTTGGCTTGTACTGTGTGTTTAAAAGAAATACATTTTTTTAAAAATATTTTGCTACAGTGACCTGCATGTGCTTCTAGAATTAATAGTATGGCAGGTAGTGAAACAATGCTTTAGTGACATGCTGTTTTGTGTAGTATGGAGTGAATAATTTGTAAATCTGACTGTGCAACCCTATGTGTAAGGCCCACTAAATTGAATGTGGCTTCCTCCCAAGAGGTGGCTAATTAGGACTGCACTCAGAAAAACAGTTCAAACTTCTACCTCGGGATACATGGGCCAAATCACCCACATATGCATGCCTCAGTCCTCTGGAAATCTATGTTGATTATTCATAGAATTGAATTCCAATTATCCATCTACTTTAGAATTATTTGAAAGAAATGTCATAGATTTGGAACACACAAAATCTTCCTCAGGCTTCTGCATCAGTTCAAAATCAGGACATATAACTCAGCCTTTTGGACTTGAACTCCCATCAGCACCAGCCTGGATTCCCAATGCTTAAGAGCACTGGGACTTCCAGTTCAAGATATCGGGAAAGCACCAGGTAGGGTAAAGCTGATGTAACTCAAGTCAAGAAAGATAAAAATTCTCCTTTTTTTTTCAAAAGGATTTATATCTTAAAATATTATGAGACTAGTATGGGTGATTTCTTAATCAAAAGCTTCATAGAAAGCCTACTGAAAATAATAACAAGACCTGATTCAAGTAAAATTCTATGAAATGATAATTGACTTAAAGTCATTATTAACAGTTCTTGGATTGTATTTGTCAATGATACAGCCCCTGGAATTTTTCTGTCTTTTGTCAGTAAGGCCCAGTTGAATGAGCACCTTATCAAATATAAATGAAACATGGAGCCCAGTGTTATGTTTAAAGGGTTCTTAACTGATGCACCATTACCTATAGATGCATCACCTGTGTATCAGTGATATATGATCACACTAGTTGCACTAAGAGAAATAACAGATCTTGTTAAATCCATTTGATTATTATTATTTTTTAAATTTAAAGTCTGTCCTAATAGTCCTGCAGAACAATTCTATCAGTGTTTCGCAGATTAGTTCTATTTGCTTATTGATGGGAAAGATTATTGGTTCCTTCCAATTTCCTGAACTTGTGTTCATGCACACTTGCAAAACTGGGAACCTCCAAAAATGCATAGATTCCTTGTCCACAAACACACATTTTCACTTTAGCCTACAAGGGAAAAGCACATTTTGGCCAGCTTTTCTTGATTTTTCCTCCAAGTTTGCATTAAATTCTTGGGTGGGGGGACCCCTAATCCTCAAGTCCATAGAAGCCATATGACTTGGGAAAAGCTGCTGCAGAATTCATGAGTTGGATTCATAAAAATTCAAACATCTGCCTCTCTTGTAAACTGTCCAGAGAACTTCATCTATTGGGTGGTATAGAAATAAAAAAATTATAATGATTCTCCAACATCCCTAGTTGCACTAGTGGGTAAAAGCCATGTACATGAGAGTAAGCATATAGGTTTGTATCTGTGACAGTGGGTTTCACAGGTAATTTCTGTACAAGTTAGAGCTGAGTGTACATACAGCATCTCACATAAAGTAAGGCCAGGGAAAAAATCCTAAGTTGTCCTCATGTCCATCAAATCAAAAATGCAGACCCTCAAGACAAACTAGGGCTCATGCATACTGAACTTAAAAAAAGATTTTTCTCTTAGAAGTGAGCCTTGCAGCAAAATGTTGCAGTATGGAGCCAGCCATGACCTTCCCCAGAGTATTCCTTCAATTCCCACCCTATCTGGATTCCACCCTCCCTTCCCAGTGCTGGCCCTTGGAAGGCAAGACGCTCTCAGGGGAAGACAAGAGACTTGCTATGGGCTCCCTCCCTCAGTGAGTCTGTCACCAGTTGCTCTTGCACCTCTCCCTCTCCCTTAGCATTGTCACCAGTTGCCTGCCTGTCAGGAGAGAGCCAGGGAGCAAGGAGGCAGAGGCCTCTACGGCTTGGCTCTGCACCACCACCGTTCTCTGGGATACAGCAGAGACAAGGGTGCAAGGAGGTGGTGATGGTGAAAGGAAGGAGGATGTCTAAGGGACTCTTGGCAGTGTTCCCTTCTGGGACGTTGGCCCCAAACAGGCACCCAAGCATTCCTGACCTTTATGCCAGCTCCGCCCAATCCCCATGTGCTCATGACGGTGTTTTGTTTTTTTTGAAGCTTTTTGAAAAAGTAGTTCTGCAACCTGTGGCGTTCCACAAGGGTTCCAATGCCCCTCGTCCATGGATGGTGCAGTTTTGGCCTACACAAGGATTCACATTTAGAGAATGTGTTTGCAATTTGTATATATGAAGGCAGTGCAACTTTTGACCTTCCAAATATTTTGGCCTACATGGCCAGTGGTGAGGGATGATGGGACTTGTAGGCCAAAGATCTGGAAGCTACAAGTTCTCTACTACAGTTCATAGCATAACAGTTGTATGCTACTACTTGCTACTAGTTGTATGCTACTAAATCTCATTGGCTTAATAGGTTTTGAAGGAGTTTGGCCCCTTTTCGACCATGAGAAAGATCACTTCTACTTGTTGACATCATGCCCTCTAATATAAATGCATCTCAAAGTATAATTAATGAATTTAGCAAGAAAAAGCCATTAAATTACCATATATACATTCAATTCAGTTTTTCCCTGTTAACAAACTATAGTTTAGGGTCAAGGGAAGACTGAAGGCATGAGTCCCATTTTTTAATTAGTTGTAGTATTTTTACTAAAACACAGAACTTGCATAGTCACATAGGAGGAGGGCTGTGTGAGCAATATTAATACAAGGGGCATGTCAGTGAGAAACACAGGAGCCTTTCCTAGTGCTTCTACCTGAGACCTCCCTCACCAGAGTGTCTCTCCCTGAACACTTCCTGAGATCAAAGGTCAGCTCCGTGCTCAGGAAGAGGACAGTACATGGTAGCAACATAAAGCCGCTGACTTAGCTTACTCCACTGCACGGTTAAACTGGGACAGTTCTATGTCTAAGCATGGAGAACCATGGCCATCACATTTCAGTTGACTCTTACAGAACTCTAGCATATACTGAACTCAGGCATCCAAGTCTGCTTCTCTACAGCTCAGACAAGATCCATGGGAACCCAAGTGACCTGATCCAAGGTCATATTATTTTTCCATGTAGTTTAGTACTGTTTTTCTTTTTCAAAAGCACACACTTCTACTCCATTGTTAAAAGCATGAAAATGCATATTTTACAATGGAATTTCAAAGTGTGCATTGTTAAAAGTGTGCATTTTTCAAACACAAACATAATCACAAACAATTTACAAACATTTATTGCCCACCCCATCCCCCAAAACCCCATTCCAGCTCATGTTCAAACATGAAATTGTGGATAGGACATGTTTGCATACTTTGTGAACAGAAATTAAATTC